AAAATAATTCAAGACATGTTTTTTTGCATATGCATATAAGAATATAATAATATTCTATATATTACATAGGACTATATATTTGACTGAGATACCATGATTGTTTGTGGAGAATGATGTGTATTCTGAATTGTTTATTGTATTTGTCCTGTTCTTTTATGTATTTTATGTTTATTGTTGATTGTAAAGCACTTTGGAAAAGCGCTATAAAAAGTAAAACATTATTATTGTTATTATTATATATAATATATTATATTATACAGTCATAAATTGTGTGTGTGTGTGTGTGGGTGTGTGTGTGTGTGTGTGTGTGTGTGTGTGATTATGCATACATCCAACATATACTATAATAATATCTATAATATTAAGAAAACCAATTATTAATTTTATTGAATATTATACAGCAATAAGAATATACATGTATATGTATATAAATAAAATATTCAAAACATATATATGTACATATATTCAACATATAAAAATATTCTATTCTAATAATGTTCAAACATATGCATGTGTTTCATAGGCCTGTATATGTGTGTGTGTGTGTGTGTGTGTGTGTGTGTACATATACAGTGTACACACACACACACACACACATTCATACATACATATAAATGCAGATCTGATATATATAGCGCATGCATTTTTGACTATTTGGTTTTATATATCTTTTAGAATATTATTCTATAATATTATTATTCTAAATTCCTCGCTATTGTTGACACTATTCTCGTCATTATTGTAGTACAGTTCAGTATCAAGTATCAAGTACAGTAGATCTGTATAATAATAGTCAATATGAGTATTATACATTTGTATGAATATTATGTACCAAACTAATAATAATAACAATAATAAAAAGATATATATATTAATAGTAAACATTTAAATGGATATTATGTATCTACATTACGCACCAAAATAATAATTTTTCCTGCATTTCAGGAGGTTATCGTGGTAGATAGTCCTCCTGTTAGAAAAAAACAAGCTCAGAGATCCAAAAGCCTAGTGCATGCTCACATTATGACGTAATCCTGTGAAAGAGCACGCGCTCTTCTCAACAATGTCGACCACCAAAACACAGCAGACGCCGCGCGCCTCCGTCCATCAGAGCCCGAGCGGAACCGAGCAAATGAAAGTGAAATCTCATCGCGGTGCGGTAAGTCTGACGCGCGCGTCAGTGCGTCTGTCTCAGAATGCACTCTTTGATTCTCATTATATTGCATGTACGTTTATTGTCAGGCTCACCATATCCCTTTAATGCATTTAAAAGAGGCGTGGCGGTACAGAAAGGACGCAACAACCATCCGAAAAATGTTGCATTTGCTTAGCAACAGAGGAAAAGATGAGATGTGCAATTGTCAGCTGATTGCATGATGTATATCGACGGGCTGCATGTCGATATCTGACAAAAGTGCTTTGAAAGGCTCTAGTGTGTGTTTCATGTGAATGTTCACACCACTGTACACTATTATACATCATTTGTGTGGATGTCTGTATGCAAACACACACATACAAGCAAAACTGAAACAGAAACAAAGAGATGAGCTTTCGTATTATGTGGCCTGCTGTGCACGAGTCTGTCAATCATTATTTTTTTTAAATGTTTATCTAATTACTTTACAATACTTATTTCAGCCTGTGCAATTGCTAGCAGAGCATAACAATCTTATCAAACGCAATAAATGTTATTAATGTATAAATAATAATGCTATTTATTGTTCATAATGTGCTTACAAACAGCAAGACAGCTCTGAATATGCTTCTAAAATCATAACAGACAGCACAATATGTGTTAGGTGTAATGCTACATTTTGCATGTTAGTGCTTATTTAATTTCGTTCTTTAAAGTAAGATTGCTTGATAAATAGCAAGGTAAACGATAATGTTCAACATTACAAAAAATAAATAAATAAATAAATAATAATAATAAATAATAAATAAATTCAGATCATCGGGACCTTTATGTGCAACTTAAGGTTTTGCGTCTCCCTGAAATCATCTGCCTGACTTTGCATTATCTCACTGATTCACCAAATAAATAAATGACATGAAATAATTATTTGCAGAGTATGGAAACCTGTTTCCGCCATGAGATAATTGTAATTGCAACTTTTTATTTTTCGCAATTCTGAGTTTATATTTCAGAAGAAATATCTCACAAATATAAACTCAGAATTGCGAGATATCAACTTGCAATTTTGAGGAAAAAAGTATGAATTTTGAGATATAAACTCAAAATTGTGGGATATAAACTCAGAATTATGGGATTCAGAACTTGCAATTCTAAAAAAAAGTCAGAATTATAAGATATAAACTCACAATATTGAGAAAGTTAGAATTTTGAGCTATAAACTCAGAATTGTGAGATAAAAAGTTGAATTTTAATTAAAAAAAAAAAAATTAATTCCATGACGGAAACAGTGAGGAAAAAAAAAAACAGAATTGCGAGATATAAACTCAGAATTGTGAGATGCAAACTCTCAAATGTGAGGATGTAATAATGTAATAATCTTTATTTTTAATGGAAAGTCCCTGTTGTTGTCTATATTTAATAATAGTTTTCTGCCACTGTGGATTCTCTTTGGTTTAGATCAGGAAGGTTTAGAGGAGGACATGGCTGCTCAAGAACCCTCTCCCCCGTCCTCCATGGAGAACAACAAGCCCGGGTTCCCAAAGAAGATTCTGGCCAACAAACTTGAAGACAAACATTTATGCAATTGCTGTCAGAACATTTTGAGGAGACCGTTCCAAGCGCAGTGCGGCCATCGCTTTTGTTCTTACTGCTTCAACCGGACTGTTGGGTAATTCAGTCTGCTGATCAAAAACAGATGCAGTTATTTGGCCAATAAAATTCAGTTCTGATGCAATGACTTAAAAACATTCATTGGTGCAATTGACACATATGGAAATACCGGAATGATGACACTTTTACCGTTCAAAAGTTTGGCATCTTTTATTCTTATATTCACTAAGGCTGCATTTATTTGATCAAAAATACAGTAAAAACAGTAATATTGTGAAATATTATTACAATTCAAAATAACTGTTTTCTATTTAAATATATGTAACCCTGGAGCACAAAAGCAGTCTTAAGTCGCTGGGGTAAATTTGTAGCAATAGCCAAAAACACATTGTATTGATTTTTCTTTTATGTCAAAAATCATTAGGATATTAAGTAAAGATCATGTTCCATGAAGATATTTTGTACATTTCCTACCGTAAATATATCAAAACTTAATTTTTGATTAGTAATATGCGTTGCTAAGAACTTCATTTGGGCAACTTTAAAGGTGATTTTCTCAATATTTAGATTTTTTTGCACCCTCAGATTCCAGATTTTCAAATAGTTGTATCTCAACCAAATATGGTCCTATCCTAACAAACCATATATCAATGGAAAGCTTATTTATTCAGCTTTCGGATGATGTATAAATCTCAATATTGAAAAAATTGACACTTAAGACTGGTTTTGTGCTCCAGGGTCACATATTTTAAATTGTAATTTATTGCTGTGATCTAAGCTAAGTCTCTTCTGCTCACCAAGGCTACATTTATTTAATCAAAAAATGTAATAAAAACAGTAATATTGTGAAATGTTATTACAAATTAAAGGAACTGTTTTCTATGTAAATATATATTTTAAAAAGCAATTTATTCCTGTGATGCAAAGCTGAATTTTCAGCATCATTACTCCAGTCTTCAGTGTCACATGATCCTTCAGAAATCATTCTAATATGCTGATTTGCTGCTCAAGAAACATTTCCTATCATTGACAATGTTGAAAACATTGCTTCATATTTTTTGTGGAAACCGTGATACATATTTTCAGGATTCTTGGATGAATAGAAAGATCAAAAGAGCAGCAAGTATCCAAATCTTTTGTAAAATTATAAATGTCTTTACTGTCACTTTTGATCAATTTAATCCATCATTTCTGTAAAAAGTATTTTTTTCCCACCAACAAATCTTACTGACCCCAAACTTTGGAACAATAGTGTAATTTTGAGGTATAAAAGTTTTTAGTTTTTTTTTTTGTATGCAATATTTTTTCTTATAGTTTTACCTTGGAATCTAATATATATAATGATAGTAATTATAAGTGATTATACATAAAAAAAAAAAAATACAATTTCACATCACAACAAATATTTAAGCATTGATGCCAAAAATGTTGATGTCAAAATAGCTAATGTGTGTTGCATTGCCATTTTAGATCAGGACCACAGAAATGTAATGCCTGTATCAAGGAGGACATCTTCGAAGAGCCCACGTCAATCCTCAAACCAGGCTGCGTAAGCGCAAAAGCTTTGCTTAATGTGAATCCAGACTTGTGAGCATTTTTAAAATGATTTAAAGCCAAACCTTTACTGCAGAGCATGCACATTCTCTGTGTTTTCTTGCAGGCATTTCCCGACAATGCTGCCAGAAGAGAAGTTGAAAATCTTCCAGCTGTGTGCTTCAACGAAGGCTGCTCCTGGAAAGGCAGTATTAAGGATTATGAGGTTGTGTTCATTAACATTAGCTTTATTGATATACAGGAGCAGAAGTATTTAGACACTACATATGCATAAATATTCAGTATAAATGGAGAGTTTCTCATTATTCAGTTGGTAACTTGTGTCATATTTTTTGTTTGTTTTTTGTAGTTGAGCCATGAAGGGAAGTGTGAGTTCATGATTCTGCCGTGTCCCTTGTGCAAAGAGCTCATTAGACTGAACGAACAGGAGCGTCATAATGAACGCGAGTGTCCTG